GAATGTCTGCTTTTCTTCCAGGTGCATCTGTCGCTGTCTGACAAAATTTTTTCAGCATTTCCGGGGACATGTAGCGTTTCGTGCCGCGCAACTGCGAAATGTTTGCAGAGCAGGTAGAATGTCCTTGCATGTGGATTATATCATCCAGGTCACTGATCATTAACTCCTCGCGATCGTCTCCCAAGGCCTTTACCAAAACGTTTCCCGGTTTAAGATCTCCGTGAATTATACCATTCTCGTGGAGGAAATTCAGTCCTTTGGCTATGCATACCGCGTACTGGACAACTTTGTAACTGTTTATCTAGTAGCATCGCTAGATCCCTAAACATTTGGCACTGATTTAATTAAACCGCAGGCTATACGTAAAGAATTGCTCAACAATACTAGCTTGCCTGACCTGTATGGCAATCCATTGCTAACTCGACGGTGGGCTCCGGCAAGATTCTTAATGATGGATATTTCGTGAACAAGTGCAGTAAGTTTTCTCATTTCTCGTCTCAGTGCAGTAAGTTAAGTTTGTTCACGGCTCGCTGAAAGCTTTCCTGGTCAGCAAGTTTTTCCAAAGGAACACAAATTTGGATCACTTTGACTGCTACGACGTCGTTTCCTGCATAATCACCACGCTTTGTAACTTTGGCTTTGTAAACAGCGCCATACGATCCCTTTCCAATAAAATCTGCATGGGAGTAGTGATACTGCATAGTACGGCCGAAATGCTGTGTTTCGGCCGGGTTGGAAGCGTTAATTCCCATCTCTTAGTCCAAAGATAAATTCAAGCCACGTTGTAATTTATTCACAATAGCTGAAACAAACTTATTGCGCATCATTATGATACTTTCATTCTCTGCTAGTTCTGGGTTGTATAAATTGGTGATCGAACAATGCTATCATCAGGTCGTAATGTGTCCGATAATAAATGTAAATGCTATCGCAGTACCGCCAATGCTGGTTGCCGAAATAGCGGTATTCTGAACACCAGTGTGAACGCCTTCACACGCGAGCTAACTCTTGTGTACCGTACATCTATCGAACCCTGATATTGGTAATCAGATAAAGTGGTAAAGCCGTGCGATATTTACATTGACGTGAGATATTTACATTGAGTTCAGCTTCGGCAAAGCATACTCGACGGCAGCACAAGTTGTGTTGTCGGGAATGGATGCCACTGAACTGTGCATTTTGCTACAATCCCACTGACAATAGGTGGAGCAAGTTGGCCCCGATGCCGACGGCACGCTTGAATACTCCTTCAGCTAGCGTGAATGATTTACGTATTGCAGTCGTATTTGTTTCCGTGTTTTTTCCTCGAAACCTTTGATCAGATTGGTTCTGCCTAGTAAATCTGCTGAGGCAAATTTGTGACTGTTTTCAAGCGTTGGTTTAATTAAAGGATTAATGCTCGAGAATGCTCAGTCGCAATCAGATTGAACAGAAGAGCACTTTCCAACCGGGGAATTGTGACATTATGAGCAATCAAGTTGTTACCGAGACGGTACTTTGAATAAAGCCGCTGCCTGACGACTTATGAGCGGATTACTTCCTTGACCGATGTGGCACCATGCACGACGTTGAAGCGGCTGAGAAGAATGCGCTGGATATGATTACTCGCCAGGTCGACATCCTGCAACAAGAAAGTGATGACCCAGCGTTACAATTCATGACAGTGTTTAATGCTAAAACCACAGGACCAGCAGACAAAAAAGTTTAATTCTGATACTGAAACCTTTTGTTCACACGATAAAACCGGTTTTGCTTAGTTTTCTCTCAGAAACCCGGCTCTCTCACATGCGTACGATTACGCTGAATTACTATTCAGCGACAATAATATATTCGCCGGAAAGAGAATATTTAAAATCATCCTACATTATACTGTCGGTATCTTGCGGCTGCTGGTTACAAATTTCTGAAAATGCTTGCACTATGCTGAACGCTGGCTTCGCGTTTCGTAATGGTAAAAAATTTCACCTATGGCCCATTTTGTACCACTCTGTAAAGTCGGCTCGTTTTTTCATTCACTGTGTTCCACCTGTTCCTGTTTATCGCCCATGTAATCCGTATGTATTGTGCCCGTGGTGCATTTTCCATTATTTTGACTTTGCAAGTACGTCTGACTACATCTTCTTGTGCTCTGTTATAATATTCCCACGTATTTTACCCGTGTGTTGTCCGTGTTCACATTGTACTCCTGGGTTTCTTAGGTGATTTTACTAAAACAGCAGGAAATATGTGGTGAATACAGGCCGAATACATGGGTGAATACATTAAGATGATGCAGGAAGATGATGCAGTAGTTATACAAGCGAGACACTAGAGTTTGGGGTGGTACATACAATGCACTGTACAAGCAGAATACAAATGGTGTACGTGGGAATACGGGCACAATCCGCAGTGCATATCAAACTCGCCAGTATGATTAAGGTGCCTTTAGTACTCCTACGTATTCCATCCGTCTTCTGCCTGTATCCCTATTGTGTTCGCGAGGTGTTTTTCATTATCCAGCTTTCAGGCATGACTGTTGTCTTTTTAGTGTATCCCCGTATTCTCCCGTATTTCGCCCGTATTCTTGGGTTTCTTAATCAGTGAAATTAGAATGCGCTTTGAATCCGGGAAGAATATTAGCGGAATACGTGAGAATACCTCAGTATACTAAAGAAGACGGCAGTCATACATCAGAGCTACTAGTAGATAATAAACAAACTGTTGTTAATTCCTACCCTAGTATCCACGGTAGGAATACCGGCTCGTCGCAGAGAATACTGAAATCATGTACTTAACTATTTGTAATAGCGGAAGCGAAAATTACAGTACACATACAGTCGAAATACGTAGGAATACATGGAACACAATAACAAAAACAGGGTGCCGATTTTCTAGAGTGGTATGAAATGGGCCATATCTAATAAATGAAGTCATTGCTAAGTTTATTAAACTGTCTAGCAGCTCTCGTGGGAGCTTTCTTGGTTAGCCTGGCTGTATGAGAGTTTCATGTATCCAACGCCCATTCGCTTAACGCGAGGTTCCCAGTGTAAATTCATTTTGGGGTTTATAGCTCATTGTAAAAAATAAAGTTTCCTCTATCAGAATATGGCGCTATCATGTATGTAAAAAAATTGTTTACGTTAAAAAACGATTTTTCGTTATGAGTGCCGAAGGGGGAAACGCTGTTCAACAGAGAAAAAGCGGCTAGCGCTGCTTTTAAACTATCCGGGTTATAAATCCGGTCTTTTATGGTCAAGAGCGATGGATGGGATTCTGATGCAAAGCTATTGTTAGCGCAGGTGAAGTAATCAGCCGTTTCAAAGGAATGCTGAGCCGAAGCAATTAGTGACAGGATGGTGTGATAACTTACTTGTTAGTTGACCGACGGCTATTGTGTTTGCATGCGGCGTGCGCGTCTGCATTCTCTAGCCCTTCTGTCCTTTCATTTGCTTCACTCAGCGTTCCAGCTGTAGATTTTCTGTACTGAACATAGCGCAACAAAACACGGTAGACTTAAAACGCGTTTCGTGAGAAATCAAACTTAATTTCACAACAAATCAACGCGTTATCAAAAAATTACTCAAATAGTGTCATTAAATCGAGCACTACCTGCTGAGCTTGTTACACATACCGTTTTTTGATATCATGTAATCTTCGAGAGTTATAGCAGAAAATGTTCAGGGTCGGCACCGCCCCACCACCCCTGGATCGTTTTTTTGCACTTTAAATTTTTGATAGCAATGATATCGAAATTTCCAATGTGTGACAAGCTTTCACACTGTTTCCGCACCGAACAGCGTTTCCAAAACTTTTTTTGGATAAACAGTACTCAGTAAATTTCTCCCTGAAATTTTTGAATTTAAAACTTCATAATTAGTTTACTGTGAGCAAAATAAACTTTTTGCTAACGCTATAATGTAGGAGAATCATTTTCCTGATATATCGTCGAGTGCGTTTGATGTAAAGTCGTGCTATGACCGTGTTATATGAGTTACCGCACAAGGACCGAACCACTGGGAACCTCGCGTTCAGCGAATGAAGGGATGCATGCTACATTTGCCTAACCGCTCTTAACGGCCTTAGGTATACAAACGCAGAAAAAGATTGTACAAGATCTACCGGCGTATTTTGTACGCCGGTACAGAATACACGGAACAGATAGTCCATACTCCCCTCGTTGCAGAAAATGAAGAAGCATGCACGTAAATTTTGAAGATATCTGCAGAATAAGCAGAATTAAGTGCCAACGATTCATCGCGCGCAGTTCTTTTTTTATGTTTTTATCCATCACACGCCATTCATTTTCTGCTCAGTTGTGGTGGAACTGAGCCAATGCAGAACCGACTGAAGTCTAGGTTACCTCACCCAATCCATGGTATCCGATGCCCTGCTCAGCCGGTTTGCTATTCTTCGTACGTACGGTATGCTTGTGGCCGAGCACATATAAAGGCTGCTGCTGTCCACAATGGGAGCGCCCTGCCCACCGCCGGCGCCCTGTGCGGCATAAGAAATAGCCTTGATGCCGTCTGCTGTTGTAGCGTGTAGCGCCCAACAACTTTCTGTTGTACGCGTCTGTCAACGTGTCTACGTGTACGATCCCGTCGGTCGCGAATGGCTCGCCGCTCGCAGCCGAGAACATAGTGATGGTCCCTGGCACTGTTCTGATTCAATTAATCTGTACTCTGCTTTAAAGCTTAGCCTACCAACGAACTTTTGATAACAGGTAGAAAGAAATACAAGTACTTCAGTGTGGGGTTAACTAACTCCCTATAACCGGCCTCCTTTCGCTGAGACCTTTACGGACAGCCAGTCCATATGGCGACTTCTTTGACACTTGATAATGATTCTTTAAGAAAAACCTTTTTATTGAAATCAAGACGTTGCTTTAAAAGAATCGTACGTGTATCCGTTCTTTTGGTTTTCATTACGCGCTTACGTATGGAGCAGTCTAGCAACTTGGAGTCGAATGCCAGATTATTGTCGCGCATGGTTGTTTCAGATGTTAAAAATAAAACCGGCTGTTTAGAAGTGTTGGATAGTTATGATTCACGAACGAAGTATCTCGAGCCGGTTTTTTAAGCTAAAAAAAAGCGTTTGCCTGAGGGAGCATCTACCAATACGACTTTCCGAGAGAGGCATAAAGCTGGCGATTCCAGTTGACGGAGTTTGGCAGAAATAATGATATACAGATAATACCACGTTGTTAGCAGTAAAATACAATCACCGCCATGCTGCGATATGAAATTTGCGCGCTGCTTCCTTTTGTTGCACTTTGTTCCCGCGTTTCGATGAAAACAATCCGAAATCTACCAGAGGGTATGTAAAAACAAGACCTGAAATACAAGACAGGGAAGGAAGGAAATGTGTGTCCATGGCTGGAATTCCTTTCATACATCAAAAGGATGAGCTTCCCTCAAATACGCTGTCAGTATTTTGGTTGTGCAGATTGGAGAGATTTCATCGATCCGGAAATTTTGGCAAACAGTGATGATGACGAATTCACGCGCTACGACAGCGATCTGCCGGAAGGAGACATTCTGGGACTCCAAACGCTGCAGGTATTTCGTCATGCGAAACTCCTTTAAAGGACAGCGTGTATATCCAATTTCGTAAAAGGCAATTAAACCATTTAAATCTAAACGATTGCTGATCGCAAAATAGACAAGTCTGCTAGTCAGAAGTTGTACGAACATCCATTTTAATTGTCAAATTGTTTGACCTTTGTAGCTGGGACAGGAAGCCGCAAACGCCGTAAGCGACGCCAGCTCTTTTTGGCCGAACAACACCATTCCATACGAATTCTCCAAAAAGCAGAACGCATTAATGAGTGAGGAAAGCCTGCACTAGTTTTTGGCAGTTTCAAGCAGAAGATAAAAATCAGCTCTTACCAGAGTGTGATAGTTGACCATCTTACTATTTGTAGCGCCTAAGGAAATTCAGAGTGTGTTGGAGTCTATGCGTATTGTTAGCCACCTGACCGGTAACTGCGTCAAATTTGTGCAGCGCACCACCGAAGAAGATTACATCAGCTTTCAAAAAGGACTGCAGTCAGTAACTCTTCTTAACAATACAGTTTACTGGTACCATGATTGTCATTCAAAAACAGTTACCGGTTTGTGTTAGGTGCATGTCGAGTATTGGTCGCATTGGTGGGAAGCAAGCGGCAACATATTCGCCCGCATGCCTCAAGCAGCACGGCGATGTCCAGCACGAACTGATGCATGTTCTGGGTTTCTTCCATGAACATTCGCGAGCTGACCGAGACGAATACGTTAAAATCATCTGGGACAACATCGCCAAAAGTAAGGCTGGATAAACGCTGAGTTCAGCGACTGATTGGCCATTTGGATCTACCGTCCCTTTTCCAGGCGACAAAGACCAGTTTGCCAAGCACGAGAACGGCAACACGTACGGGTTGCCGTACGACTACGAATCGGTTATGCACTACAAGCACAACGCCTTCGCCAAAGACAGCGGCATCCCGACTATCGTCCCAACCAGCAGAAAGTCGAAGATTGGACAGAACCGGGATCTGAGTCCGTTGGATGTGGTCAGAATACACCGACGGTTCCGGTGTTCGATTGCGGACCCAAAGACGTTTTCCTGTAAGCCACATTTCCTTAGGCACGCCCTAAATTAAACGCCAGGCACACGCCATCCGACTTCTGCTTTATGTAGCAGGCGAAGACAGTTGCAACGAGAAGTCGGGTAACTGTCCTGTCTGTCCGATTGCGCAAGCAGGAAAGCAGGATCAGTGCGAATCCGGAAACAGCAGGGGTAAGTGCTGTTCATTCTTTGCCCTAATTTGCAAATTGCACCAACCCGAAGAAAAGACACAGTTTCTTGGCAACCGAAGAACAATATTGTAACCGGTGAACTTCGATAAACTAATACGCCGTTGCAGACAGGGCGTCGATGCACTAGTAAAAAAATAATGAAACGTACCGGCTGATAATTATTACAGAAGATGATGGTGAAAACAATGGGATGTTTACTGCAACAGAATCGTTCCTGCAGTTTTCCCAGGAGCCAATGACCGCAGAGCAATGTGGGCTTCAGTTCACCACCAGCTGTAATAACCCGCGATATACAGCTGAGAACTGCACGTATACGCGAGCGCTTGCCATCAACTGCAGCACGCTCGTTACTTCGGCAGAAATTCGGCAGATCAGCGCTGGACTTTCCAGATCTCCAAAGAGAGCAATTGCGGTTGATCTTTATGATGGTGACTACATCGTTTTCGATAACTTCCACACGGTCCGGCAACAAGTTGTGGCGACTGCCATCACAAACTGCATTTCTAGCCGGACCGTTCAAAAACTGGCCGCACTACGTTTTTCCAGTTTGTTAGAATTGGAGATAAAACACTGCTATGGACTGGAAATCAAGAGAGCTGATTTCGGCCAGTCAAACAAGATCACAGTGATTACTTTTGAAGACACTACTATTAAAATGTTGGAGAAGGGCACGTTTACTGATCTGCCGTCTTTGCGAGTGCTATCCTTAGAGTTGGGCATGCGTAACATGGCTGTTTTCGGGCGGACCATTCGAGATTACCTGAAGAAGGTCCACTGCGGCTGCGATTTCTAGTGGTTTCGCGATTGGTGGGAAGGTAATCGGCAATTGCTGCGAAAGGCTGCAGCAGAGGAAGTGTACCTCATCCCAGAAGCACGGAGAAATAATAATTACACTAAAGAGGACATTTATCTGCCCATTGACTGCTCGGTTAACCCGTTTCCTACTGTACCAACTTCCATAGACCATAAACAGTACAGGTTCTCAATCAACGTACCGCAGTGTAAGTGCAACCCAACTATTAAATCCCTCTCAAGATCAGCTTACTCTTAATGAACATCAATGTCTTACAGCCATAAACCGGGAAATGACATACGCTGAGCTGATACATGATAATAATAACAGAGCGCCTCAGCATTTTGTTCTCTACTAATTCACATAATGACACATATGGTAATACATCTCTTAGGTCGAAATTTATTTGGTTCATTCTAGTTTCGAGTGCCGACGTTGACACATCACAATGCTCGGATGAACTGTTGAACTCTAAAGACTTATTCCCGTCTTTTTCCACTGATCCAATGACTGCAGGAGAATGCGATATCCAGTTCACCGCACACTGTGAACCATCATTTTACACAAGAACCTCATGCCTACTTAATAAGATCGTGCAAATCCGCTGCGACCGAGAAGCAAGCTCGGACGAAATTAACCGCATGCTGACGGCTATCAGCAAAGCACCCGTGCGTCCGGTACAGATTATTTCCGTGGACGACTCTGAAATGTCATCGGTTGATCTGGGGAAGTGAGAAAACATGTTGTTGCATATAACCTCCACGACTGCACAGCTCGAAGAGCAACCGGAAGGCTGCGCGAAATACCTCTGCCCAGTCTTTTAAGTTAGAGTCTTTACAGATGTCTCAACTTACATGCAAAAAAGGCGGATTTCGAGTATTCTCAAGAATTACGAATAGTTGGATTTTGGAATTCAACCTTTCGTACTTTCGAAAGCGGTACGTTCTCTCAGTTATCGGCACTGCGCATATTGTCTCTCGAGTCCGACATCAGAAAGGCAACAACTTTCACTGCAGATATGAACGACTATCTGTTTCGACTTCACTGCAGCTGTGATTTCGCACCCTTCCGTAAATGGCGAAAAAACAACAAGCAATTACTGCGAACGGCTGACTGGGGACTACTTTATGGTTTTCAAGAGAGTTTCGCCAGCCCCGCGTTCCATCACAATGAAGTTTATGTGCCCGTTGACTGCTCTGCAGATCCTTTCCCTTCCGGACCAGATTCCATTGACTTTGACCAGGTGGAATTTTCGCTGAATGAGCCTTCCTGCTGACCCGATTGTTGTCAAGCTATTAAGAGCGGCAAAATTACTAAACTTGTTGTCAATGCTGTTGCTAATTATCTGCAGTTAAATAAGCATATTGGGTTTACGTTATCCTATACTAGATTCGCCACTGCTCCTGTTTCGCATGCGTTTGTTAAATTTTTCCTCCTGGTTTTGTTCATACTGTCATTGTTCTGTAAATCTTGTCAAGGAGCAGTTTCTTCTATCATTCTATTCTCGCAGCAGCAGGCCTTTCGGGACAAGCAGAATTTTGAGTACAGTCTTTACATACTTACCAGTGCTGGAAACTACAAATCATTACATGGCTTTTCCGCAAAAGCGACCTTTATTGGTATCCATGCACGGTCATATTACTCCACAAATGTACCAAATTAAGCTGAATTATGGCTCTACTGTAAAGTGTCATACGTATATGATAAATATAATTTTTGCCAGAATTCCAGTGTGTGCAAGCCAGTCAATATAACGCAACTGTTCCATCGAAGCCTAATAAAGAAGAAATTTTGATATCAGGACGGCACAACGCGTTGAAGAAACGCTGCAGGAACCTCCCAGAAAACGAGGTACCAACAATCATGCCTGAACCGAGCCGAAAAAGAATCCAGTGACTGTTACCTCTAAGGAAATAGCAGAAATACGAAACGCAGAAACGTTCCAGAGAGAGTTCGTCTGGATGAAAAGACGGCGTGCCTGTTATTGGAGAGCTGTTAGAGAGTTTAACCCGTTTAGGGTAACCAAGACATAGTTTCCCTGTACCGGCCGTTATAGTCGAAACACAAAAAGTCGCTGCGCCCTCAAGTGACACCAATGGAACCAATGGACCCTACTGGAACCCGTTGGAACTGTTGCAACTACTATCTGTACATGTCTTATTGCACCCTTGTGTGGTGCCAATGGAACATATGGAACACTACTGTAACCCACTGGAACCGTTGGAACATCGTCTCGTCGTCGTCATCGTCAGTACATCGTCTCATTGCGCTGTTACAGATATGTGATACCAAAGGAACCTATGGAACTCCTTTGGAACTGTTGGAACTGCTGTAAATCGTCTCATTGCGCCTTTATTTGATTCCAATGGAACTTATGGAACTCCACTGGAACTCGTTGGAACCAAAGGAAACATTGTTAATACGTTCCAACGGGTTCCAATAGAGTTCCATAGGTTCCATGTATCACGTAAAGGGCGCAGTGAGAAATGTACAGTGGTTCGGACAGCTCCAATGGGTTCCAATAGAGTTCCATACGTTCCACTGGTATCATAAGGAGACGTAACATGAACTTCTGTTGCGGTTTCATCGGATCCTAGCGTAGGTATTTAGTTGGACTGGATGGAACTGGTGGAACTTATGGAACCGATGTAGATTTTGGAACTAGTGGAACTTGTGGAACGATTGGAACTCTAGAGGAACCGCCTTCTTACCCTAAACGGGTTAATCTATGTTACAAAAGCCGGCTTTCCAAAGAAAGTTGTAAAAAAACGGACTGTAATCGTAAAAAAACGTGTGGGTTATGATTATACTTCGTGAAGTGTTCAAAAACAATCAAATTTTAAATTTGCGGGAAATTTCCTGGCGCATAGCACTTTCGAAATTTTAAGACGGTCGATCTGCTTTGCTTTGCGTTGCGTTGCTTATAAAGAATTTCACGCCACTGTATACGAATCATTTGACTATAGCATGACTTAAATCTATGGAAAAAGAGGTTAAGGGTGCGCGAAAGCGAAAGTGTTCGTTTATGTACACCAATGTTGCACCATATACCGGCATTCCTTTAATTTTAGGGACACTAAAGCTCATTTGCTTATATGGTGCATTTTGCCGGAGGTATAAGGAATGCAACGAAAGTCGAGTAAAAGCAGGCCCCAGGTGGTGTGCCAGCTGCATCGTCTATCGCGACGGTAGCCTGGTACTGAACTGAACCGTTGAGTTCAGCCAACACTGCACCCTACTTTTACTGTTGTCAACCGACTGCAGCACCGCGTTCGACCGCAAACCGTATTTCAGCGGCGTGCTTGCTAGATCTGGAAGTACCGCGATTATATTTTGAGCGCCCTCTGTCATTCTTTTTTTGTTGTTGTTCGCGCAAACGGTGAAGCAGAATGTGACCTTACAAAATTCTATGTGTCTGCTCTTACTTTGTGCATGCCCAGTATTAAATCTGTTGACACTTTATATGAAAAACTGACTATATACTGACAACATTTTAAAGAGTTATACCGTTTAACCCAACTTATTAAGTGTGTCACATTTTATGCGGCATCTGCCAGATTTTATCGTTTGCCAACGGCTACTTATACATCATCCGCGGGTTTGTTTCCTACAACGCGATTCTCTCCGCTGAATGCATTATTCTGCACCTGGAAACTGGGACATGGGAAGAAATAGGACCGCTTAATCAACCAAGATGCTGCCATGCTGCTCTGAAGTGATTTACAACGTGATTTTCTGCGTTTAGTCAGCTGGAGGCGTGGTTTCGGATTGAATCTGGTGAACAAACATAATTTGAGGAAATGTTATTTTTATTATTAATATTATTCGTTAGTTGCCGCATTTTTCTAAACTTGAAACGTTGCTTTCCGTACAGCGAATTTTTTTAAAAGCCAGCATTTTCAGATAATCAGTTTATGCGTCAAGTAAAACAATACTAATGCACAAAATAGCGCACACGTTTTGCGGAAATAGTGCAAACCGTACCGCTGATATGGATCCACTTTGGCGTTGCAAATGGCGATCTGAACAGGCACAAAAGACAATACTGGCAAATGGCGTTGCAAATGGCGATCTGAAAGCTCTCCATCGTTGAATACTGTATATATACGTAATACAGAGGGATAAATTCTTGTCAATTTTGCTGTTTCAAAACTACGCACCGACGTGAACACACTGCCGTGCAATAAACACCCGACTAGAAGAAACATGTCTTCCGGTAACACGTTTACCGTAAATTTCCTCGCTGCGTGGCAGCACCTAGGAGCCGCTTTTGCGACCGCTGCCGGCTGATTTTATACTGATGTGCATACATTCAATACATCTCAGAAATTCTTGCCCAACACCAGGGTTGTTTCATCGAACACTTGGTACTTCCAACCAGTTATGGTTAGTACGTCAACCCTCCGAATAGTGTTGAGTCGAATAGTGTTATTTTTGACGTTAAAGCTCGGCCGGGGTATAATACCGTTATGCCACAAAAGGGCTCGCTGCCAGAAGCCCGCGCCTCCCTGCTTTTCCACAGACACCGCGAACCTGTACCTCGGGAAGTAGTTCGCGACGCCACTGCCCGTCCACCACGACCTCCACCAGTGCCGCCTTCTCGAACTGGTCGAAGCGGGGCGTCAGCATCTTTCCCGGGTACCATATCCAATGCGGGCCGTCGTGCAGCAGCCCCTCCACCGCAGCTGCTTTATCTGGGTCACTCAATCGATTGGAGAAACATGTCCCAGACCTTCCCATACTCTACCAGCGCCGACTGCTCTGCCGGGCATCCGAAATCGATCAGCAGACGGGGAGAAGCGCTCTCGGTCTCTTCCAGACCGACCACGTGGCCGTGCTGCAGTCCACCGTTGATCGCAACGCCCACGGCGTTCCACGCGTACACCGATCGTCGCATATCTTCGCACAGATGCATTCTTATTCTCCGAATGAGAACGAGAACCCGAAATGAGCTGTGTATAATGACAATTAGCTTAAACAAATCTGTGTGCAGTCTGCGTAGTCAAAAAATAAACTGTAAATGAACATTGTCACGTCAGACTGTACTTGGCTGTTATGAATCAGGTTGTCATAGCGCACGCTTTAAGGGCCAATGTCAGCAGCGCAGAATAGCAATGGCGAAATATCTGGTGATTTGAAGCAGCCAATACAACCGCCTAGAACTAAGCCAAATGGCTTAAAGCCGTCTAATGCCTGCGGCCTCACCAATCTCTACATTTGGTATTGTGAACCGCAATTCGTTCGCTTGTTGAATACTGACCCACATTCTACAATACACACTTTATCCCATCCTGTGTTTTGCTGTTTGATCGGATTCGTATTATTGGTTCCAAGTTTTTTTCTCACAATTTTCGACAACATTGATTCGGTCTTGTAAAACTGCTGAGAGAAATTTGTGAATGTTGTTGTCCGGACCGTAGTTTTGCAAACTCAACCAATCCTTCTCTCCTCTTCTTGAAGACTTCAGTCATCCTGAATG